GCTAGGATGCAAACCCAATGTGTGAGCAGCATCCACCTGGGCCCCTCCACATCACCCCTGTGGCCTCAGCACAAGGGAAACATGAAGCTCCTGATGTTTGTGTCATTAAATAAAATCCTTTGTTTCTGTCACAGGAGTTAGTGACTTCTACCAGGATTCATGAATCTGGCACGTAAAATTGTTAGCTTGCAAATACTGTAAAGTTTTTACAATTCTTTTTTTTTTTTTTAAAGACTATTTATTTATTTGACAGAGACACAGCGAGAGAGGGAACACAAGCAGGGGGAGCGGGAGAGGGAGAAGCAGGCTCCTGGCCGAGCAGGGAGCCCGATGTGGGGCTCGATGTGGGGCTCGATCCCAGGACCCTGGGACCATGGCCTGAGCTGAAGGCAGACGCTCAATGACTGAGCCACCCAGGTGCCCCAAGTTTTTACAATTCTTAACATGAGAGAATTACTGTTCAGGTTGGAGTGCATCCTTTTCCTTTAAGTTCACAAGCATAACACATAATTACATATATATACACATAGTTTTCTTCCAAGAAATACGGAATACATATTTTCTGACACTGCTTTTTCCAATGATAATTTGTCATTTTAAATGCTTAATAGTATTTTATTTATTTTATTTTATTTTTTATTTATTTTTAAGATTTTATTTATTTATTTGAGAGAGAGAGAGAATGAGAGATAGAAAGCATGAGAGGGAAGAGGGTCAGAGGGAGAAGCAGACTCCCTGCTGAGCAGGAAGCCTGATGTGGGACTCGATCCCGGGACTCCAGGATCATGACCTGAGCCGAAGGCAGTCGCTTAACCAACTGAGCCACCCAGGCGCCCTTATTTATTTTATTTTTTAAAAAAAGATTTTATTTGAGAGAGTGAGAGCGTGAGAGAGCGTGAGAGAGCACGAGCAGGGGGTAGGAGCAGAGGCAGAGGGAGAGTCAGAGAAGGGAGCCTGAAACGGGGCTCGATTCCAGGACTCCCAGTACCCTGGGATCATGACCTGAGCCCAAGGCAAATGCTTAACCAACTGAGCCAGGCACCCCCGAATGGTATTTTATAATATGATTTGGCATATGTAATTATTCCCCTATTGATAGACATGTAGATTTTTTCCTTTCTTTCTAACATTAGCAATCCTGTCTGTGTTTACTGCCCTCTAGAATGTCCCTCTCCCTATCCCATAATCACTGTGATGTTTCCCCAGTACTCTGAAGTCAAGAATTTGTCTCATTGTTTCTTAATCATCTTAAATACTGGTCTGTTATTAACATGTCTCTCTTCTCAGGATTTTATCAATCTATTTATTGCATTCTATTTTATATTACCTGCTATTATTGCATCTGCTCTTTAAATAGAGTATAAGCTTCCTTATCTAATATTTATTCTGAGCTCTCTCTCCCACTTCCAGTATGTAGTGGCCCTTAAAATATGCAGATGTGTCATACATTTCAGACAGGAAAAAATGGTTTGATTTGTTTTGTCAACTAGTGAAATTTAGTCCATCTGATTCACCTTCCCCTTTCTATTCCTTCTACTGAGATCTGTCCTTACTCATCCAAGTAACTACTTCTCAAGAGCCTGCCTGTGCCAGGTGCCAAGTTTGGTGAGAGTGCTGGGATGAGCACCTGTATGAAGCTCACAATGACCACAACCTTCTTCATTCTTCATGGTTTGTCTCTTACTCAAGTCCTGCACTTTACTTTTATGGGGAAACTAAAATAATTTCGCCTCTACCCTTCTAGGATTTTGGCTGAGATCCCCCCCAACATCCAATAAAAACACAGGTTAACAGGAGAAAAACCGTTAAGTAACAGGTGTACCTCCTACACATGGGGAGATCCAGGAAAACCGAGTGACTCCTTGAAAGGAGCCAAGCCACCACCCTAAGTATAATGTCCACCTCCGAGCAAAGGAAGATTTTTGGGTTTGGGGAGCCCCGGGAGGTTGCCAGGTGAAGCACAATAAAGGACAAGGAGGTTGTTATGCTGATTTGTTGTTACCCTCTCAATAACAAGGAGTTTCTGGAGGCTTGGAGTCCTTCCTCCTCTTCCTGGGGAGACACTCTTACAAATGGAGATTTCATTTACAAATGTAAAGGTTTCTTACAAAGGGGTAAATATTACATGGTTTTCAGAGCTCCTGTCCTGTTTGTTTTTGAAAAATAATGATTCTAAGCTATCCAATATCAAAGAGGCATATTTGGGGGCGGCATATTTCGCTCCCCCTCACTTTTCTTCCGGATGAGAGGTTGCGGGGCGCAGAGGCCGGTCCCCACAGTCACTCTCTTGCATCCTGTGGAATCCTGGAGGTTTGCCGAGCCCCGCGGTCGAGGGACTTTACGGGAACGTACCCTGCCGCCTGACAGGGCCTCCGGGAGCCCCCCAAACCAGCTTCCCCCGCTTGCACATAGGGCCCCCAGGCCTCTTTCAGGCGGGAACCCCAGTGTTTCTGGCCCGGGGGCAGCCCGGACCCTTCTCCCCGCGCTCTCACCACCGCTCGGCACTTCCGCTTGCTGGTTGCTAACGGTTCCGGAGCGGCGGGCTGGAAGGGCGGGCGCCGGGTGGACCGCGTGGCTGGCTGGCCGCCCGCGCTCGGACAGCTGCGGGAGAGAGGGGCTGGCGGCGAGTGGCGGGGCGGGCCGGGGGCGGTCTCCGTCGCTGGGCCGGCGCTGCGGCCCCACTGGGACCGTGCTGAGGTATGTAGGGAGCCGTGCAGGAGGATGGAATAGTTGGGAAGCACTCCCAGCGGCGACGGCGCCGTGAAGCCGTGGAGACGGGGGACCAGTGAGCTGATGGCCGCGGCTCTGAGGGGAGAGCGTGCGGGCCGGGACGCTCAGCCGGGGCGGGACGCGACCCGCTTCTTCCAGTCTCTTCAGAGCCTCTGTGCAGAGAGCGCCCGGCGGGGTCCCCGGTGCGCGGCGGGGTGCGGCCATGTTCCCTCCGCAGAAGCGCTGACGGCCGGGAGTGCTCGTCCGGTGCTTCTGCGTCTTCCATCCCCGTGTTTGCTCGTCCCTGGTATTTGTCGTGTTTGTTTCCCTGACCGTAGGGTAGGCTTGTAAGAGCAGAGATCTTTTTTCGTTTTTAATGCGTTTCCAGGCACCACCTCCAGGGCCTAGGAATCTGTATTTTGCTCCCCGAAAAGAGCCAGGCTGGCCCTGGTTCCCTGCGCAGATATCTCGGGTTTTACTAGTGGGAACTAAAGAGGAACATGCTTCAATGGCTGGCTGCTCCTGTTAAGTATCGCTTCGTCAGATCTCCTGAATGTGGGCCTGTATGACCGCCTTGTGGTTGGCTTTTTTAAGTTTTTGACCTCCTTCAAGCCATGCCTGCCCCTCCCTTCTGTTTTCTACATCTATGTAGTTTTTTCTTTTCTTTAGAGTCCACATATAGGAGAGACCATGTAGTTATTATTTTTTTTAAGTACCCTCTGTAGCCAGCGTGGGGCTGGAACGCCCCCCCCGGAGATCGAGATTGGCGGGCGCCTTTGACTGAGCCAGCCCGGCGCCCCAAGAGAGGTCACACAGTATTTGCCCTTCTCTGACTTACTTTGCTTGGCATAATGAACGCCCTCAAGTTCCATCCATGTTTTCCATCCAGGATTTCATTTAAAAAAAAAAAAAGCTGAGTAATATTCCAGCGTCCATACCACAGTTTCTTCACCCTGCACCCACCCCTGGACGCTTAGGTTTTTCCATATCCTGGCTGTGTCCTGAATAATGCTGCAGTGAACATGGGGCACATACATCTTTGTCAGTGGTTTGTTTTTTCCTTTGGATAAATACCCAAAAGTGGAATTGCGGGATCATATACTTCTATTTTTAGTTTTTTGAAGAATGTCATACTGTTTTCCACAGTGGCTGCACCACTTTACTTTCCCGACAGTGTATGAGGGCTCCCTTTTCCCCACATCTTCATCAACACTTGTTCTTTCTTGTCTTTTTGGTAATAGCCATTCTAACTGGTGTGAGGGGATATCTCCCTTTACTGTAACATAGGCTTAAGGGCAGAGATTTTTACCTTGTTCCCTGCTGTGTCCTCAGTACCTAGAATAGGGGCTTGGAACTGAAGCGGAGGGAAAATTATTACTGTACCCTTCGTGGTCTTACAGTTGGACTAAGAATTAAATTTACTGGAGACAGATTAACAGGAGAAAAGACCAGACGGAAGCCCAATAACGAACTTAAGACCTAAAGAAATGACCAAAGCAGGTGGTTTTTATACTTTTCAGACAGGAGACAATAGAACTGTGAGGATTTGACAGGACAAAGAAAACTTAACTTTGGGAGGTCCAGTTAGTAAGGAATTCTAAACAGAATTTGGGCTGGGGTGGTAAACTAGTAAACAGTAACACGGGGTGTTTATACAGCCTTCTGGGCTCTAAATTTCCCATCTCTGGTACTAAGGATGTCTCCTTACCTCCTGGTACAGGACGGGGACCTTTCACATGGGAGATTTATTTCCTGCTTTCAGGGGGACACAGAGGAGGTCTCAGTATCCTTCTTGCACCAGCTGTCTTTTAAGTAACTTTTATTTAAAATAATCAGTATGCCATAGTGGTACATTTTGGGGCAACCTGCCCTTGTCTCTATAGCACATAACATGTGTTTAATAAATACTTGTCGAACAAATCAATAAGAAGAAATAGGTAAAAAGTACTTGGCATCACAGAACTTAGTCTCACAGAACTAAAGTGGTTTGAGGGACGCCTGGGTGACTCAGTTAAGCGTCTGCCTTGGGCTCAGGTCATGATCTGTCCCCCAGGGGCTCCTTGCTCAGCGGGGAGCCTGCTTCTCCCTCTGCCTGCTGCCCCAACTGCTTGTGCGTGCGCTCTCTCTGACAAAAGAAAAAAAAAAGAAAAAAAAGAAGTGGTTTGAAACATAAAGAGTGGGATGTACCCTGAGGTGAGATCTTGATCAGGCAGTCCAATAAATAGGAATAGAATGTGATCTACCTATGTAATGTTTTCTAATAGCCACATTAAAAAAGTAAAAGACAGGTGAAACTAATAACAATTTTATTTAAACCAGTGTATCCAAAATATTAACATTAATCAATATAAAAATTAATGAAGTATCTTACATTCTTTTTTTATACTAAATCTTTGAAAGCTGATGTGTTTCTACTTATTGCATATCTCAATTCAGATATTAAATTTTCATTGAAAATACTTTATTGGGATTATACAAAATTTAAAATGTTAAAAGTAGATTCACATACCCAAATTACACCAAACATGAAGGTTTTCCAATAACTGAATTATGTTTTAAAATTTAAATTAAAAAATGTAGTTTCTTAGTTGCATAGCCATATGTACCTGATGGCTACTGTACTGGACAGGGGAAATCTCAATAAAAAAATCTTTGTTCGTGGTTGGGTCACGGGTTAGAGGAGTAGGTAGCACCACAAGTATGCCGGGGAAGGAAGAGGAAAGTCTTAAAAAATGCAATGTAAGCTCTTTATGCAAGTCCCATTTGAGGGCAGATTCCTCTCGTCTTCAGCAGTGAGGTATGGCTTCCTAAAGCAGACTAATATTTTTCAGTATGATTGCTATTTAGAGCTTAGGTACTCTGGGAATCATTTTTGGGGGGTAGAAAGAGGGTCTAGCAGTGCTGGTTGTATGCACCATCTCCGTAGAATCTTATTGTATATGATGAGGAACAGTCATGGAAATTAGATTATTTTCCTACAGATCAGTTCTCAACTGAGGGTGATTTTGCCCCTCAAGGGGGCATTTGTCCCCCATCTTAAAAATGCTTGCTTGTCACAAGTAGGAGGTGTGGTAGCATCCAGTGGCTGGAAGCTGGGAATACCCCTAAAGGCCCTGCACTGCAGGGGGCAGGGCACTACAAAGAACTGTCTGACTGAAAATGTCAGCAGAACCAAGATGGAGAAACCTTGCTCTAGACGGTTTGAGGAAGAAAGACTGAGCTAGCTGTCCCTTCAGAACCTCAATATGACTCCCTTGTGGGATCAGTTAGGGGAGAAGAGCTTGTTTTGTTGAAGTATGTCAAGGTTTCTAGTTGTGTTTTCACTGTTGATGGACTTTTTGATTATAAACAAATAATGTCATGCTCAGGATGAGAATGGAGACCTGTTGGATAAAGATAGATAATACGTGCTGTGCTCGTAAGATTCAGTGTACCTTGGGATAAGGAGCTCATCTGTTCTTCGTATGGCTTATATCCATCCTATGACCCAGGCTCAAACACGACTGATGCCAGTATTAGATTACTCGTCACTCCTCTTTCCCTATCACCATCTCTTGTTTTATCTTTGTTCTTTTCTTGGTACCCTTGTTCCTTTTTATTTTCTCCCTTCCTCCCTTTCCCCTGATCTTACTCCCCTTCCCCCACCAATGTCCGTACATACCTCCTGCAGCCCCTCCTCTCCCGGCACCTAATCTGTTTCCTCCCTTCAAAGCTGTTGGTTCCTAATTCAGAATCACCAGTTCACTACCATCCCCCCATCAGTGTCTAAGAGAGCTGCCCCCCTACTCCCTTTAGGTGCCTCTTACGACCACAGCTGTCTTGTTAGTTCACAAAAACTCGAAACTCCAACTTCTTGCCTCCTTCAAAAAAGAAAAAAAAATCGTCTCTCCAAAAAGATGGAGGCGCAATGCATATGCTTCTGACACAACTGTTTGAGAAACTGGGTTCTTTTAGAGCCGGTGCTCTAAACGGATGGCTCTCTGCTAGAACCAAGCGGTTGTAGTTATGGTTACGGTGTCTAACGTATTACATCTTCTTTTCCAGTAACTGTGGCTGTGCTTGAGCACCCTCCCCAGTTCTTTCCTTTGGGTTTCTACACACTTACCGGACAACACCTGCTTCTTCCTGGTACCAGCAACAACTCAGATCTTTAACATCATGCATTCTTTGCCTTATGCCTGCACTTATCAGATTTCTCTTGCCTGCAGCACTCCAGGCTATCTCTGGCCACATGTATTTCTCTTCCTCCCTCTGTTACCAGATGGTGGACACTGTGGTGGCAACTGAGAATCAACACCAAACCTAAAAAAGGGTAGCATGGTCTGTCTCAGTGCTCCAGACTAGCCTTTGAAGGTATACAACTCGAAGACTGGAATGATTCTTTGTACTTAACAGGTGGTATTCAAAACTATCTGAGTAGAATGTTACAGCATATAGAGGATGATAAAGGAAAATTAGTCTGTCATGTCTTTACCAATTTTAAGAAACCTAATCTTGTGGTAGGCAAAATCATCTTTCTTACCATTGCAGAAGCCTCTCTAAATTCAAGAGTGGATAATATCAGAAGTATGAGCTTTTCTTTTACAGAGACTGCCAACAGCTTCTACGCTTGTTTCTCAGCAAGACAAAAAAGGTAAAGGGGGAAAAGCTATCACTCAGCATCTAGCTTTATTTTCAAAACAAGGATGTTTCTAATACTAAAGATTTTTAATACTTTTCTCTTCATGACCATTAAAAAATCCTTTGTTTCAAATGCTTTGAAATATTGCTCAGATAATTATGTCATAAAAACAAGTAGGAGTATGAGACTTGATGTTTTAAAATTTTCTACCAGTTGATGTAGACAATCAAAATAAACTTAGATTTCTTTTAAAGCAGTGTTACGTTCAAAAGACATAAAAGTTCGGTTTATGGTGTTACAAAGAGTGATTTAAGATTCATCTTCCAACAGTAGTAAAGACACTGAAATGACTGTGGTGGTTTAACTACTCGGTCACAATACAGAAGCAGGTGTATGTAATTCCTGTCTTCAGAAAGAGATTAGATCCCTTCCTGCTTGTCCTGGCGATGGCTATTCCTAGAACCAGTGATTCATGGTGGTTTGGTGGTGGTGTACATGTGAATGTGCTGGGCCTCTGGTCACAGTATCTGTCGTGTTATGGTATTCTCAAACTAGGGATGTAAAACTGGTGCAAGCACATGGACTACTAATGCATTTCCAAGCCAAACAAAAAAATTGGACTGTTTATTATCTTAAACTCCCGAGAGTCCCAGTTTCTTTTCAGCATATGTATCTGATGGGATGCTACTTTGTAAAGGTAGTTACACTCTTGTTTTAGAGACGATGTAGTAATTTAAGCTTTTAATTTAGATTATTATGTTATTGTATTTACTTTAATAATCTTCAGTCATCCAATTATAATATACTCCTTTTTTCAGGCTGAAAAGTGCCATAAAGTTATTACTAAATTCCTTTTTTAGAGTGTTTGTGTTTTATCTCCTGTTGCTACTACAGTCTCCTCAGGTGTTTCTTTTACTACCTTCCCGAACTCAGAATCACACAATACCTAAGCTGGAAGACATGTTACTGGTGATTGATTAGGACAGCAGCATCCTGTCCACCATGATAAAAACGATCTGTGTCTGTGCTGTCCAGTTCAGTAGCTGCTAGCCACATGTGGTTAAGGAACAGGATTCTCTACTTTGGGTGAATTAATTTTAAATTTATACAGCCATAGGTGGGCACTGGCTACTCCACTGGACAGTGCAGTTCTGGACCAATCCCTCCCCACGTCTCTCAGTTTCCAGGAACCTGAGACTCAGAAGAGGAGTGATTTATCCTCATTACGGTCATCCCTCTTCCCAGCAGCTCCTACTCATCTCACTTACTGCTTTTCTTTCCACTTGAATGTTTTCCGTACCCTGCTTCTTTTTTGGTAGTTTCCTCTTTGTTAGCACTGGCAAACAAATTCCACAAAATGATTATACCACATTATAATGGCCATTATATCAGTAGTGATGGAAAATAAATACTTAGTATTGTTTTAGTTATTAATTTCAAAAGCAGCTTTAACTTAATACAACATACCTGGTGGGTCTCTACTGTGTCCTCTACAGAAGGGGGAAATGAAGGCAGAGAAAAATGTGACTGTTTTGCCTAATGTCATACACAGAATAGTCAAATAAAAAGGAAAGCTGAGAAGTAGAATTCACTCTTTCAACCAAGAAACATGGTTATTTTGGGTTGCAAGGGAGCAGTCTGTTAACAGACAAGGCTTTCTGAAATAACCTTAATGCTTCCTAAGAAACTGAACTAATTTAGAAATAAAAGGAAGTTTTCTCAGGTAGATTCTCGGGTGCCAGAGAAATGTTCAATGATGACTGAAGCTTTGCCTATATTCAGGATACTCACAGTTCCTAAGGCAGATTCTCTGATAATGAAGGAGACCTGAGTAGCTTAGCTAAAGAACTTCTGTTACTTCACCATCTTAGTAGAGCTTATTTGCTGTATGAATTCTTTGATGTCTGATCAGGGCTGAACTTACACGGAAGGGCCTCCCACACTCATCACATTCATAGGGTTTTTCACCTGTGTGGATTCTCTGATGCTGAATAAGACCTGTGCGCCCACTAAAATCCTTCCCACATTCTTCACATTTATAGGGTTTCACTCCAGTGTGCACTCTGTGGTGTCCAATGAGATGGGAACGTTGAATGAAGGCTTTTCCACATTCATCGCATTTGTAGGGTTTCTCTCCAGTGTGAGTCCTTCTGTGCTTACTAAGGTCTGAGCTGTGACTGAAACTTTTCCCACAGTCATCACATGCATAGCGTCTTCTTTCCCTCTGCTGCCACTCTAATCTGCCCTCACTTTCCATAGCATCTTTGGATTCAGGATGTTGAGGAATGTCTTTGTTAAGTCTGTCATTTATCTTCCCAAGGAATTCCGTGTCCTTGGGCAAATCTTCCTTCCGGGACAATGCTTCATTCTTAGTTCTGGTTTTATCACCTGTAACACAGAGTACACAAACATGTCCTAGTCTAGGTTTGAGAAGCAAAGCCTATAAAGAACGAACACGTAAATGTTATAAATGTGTTATAAAAAACAAAGTAACATACAATGTACAAACTAGATATTTGGCATCGTCAAAACGTATATTGAGAATATAAGGAAGAGATTAAGAGGCCAGTAGGGAAGACAGCAGCAGAAAAATTATTTGGGAACAGATTAAGAAGAGAGGAAAAGGCACTGATGTGGATCAGGGGGTTGCCTTGCAGTCCTGTGCAAAGGCAGAGTGGTGAGTGGTAAATGAGGACTAGAGATATGCTGAGGATAATTAAGAGGGACAGATGGGGATCAAAGAACAGAAATGGGGAGGGAGGCAAAAGTTTGGTAGAAACATGCAGGGCCCTGCAACACAGGTAGTTAAGTGGGAGTAAAACTGAGTAAAAGTGGAGAAGACAGTGGGGTTAGGGATATGAGAAGAATGTAGTGATTAGGAACCATCAAAGGAGGGGAATGCGTGAAGGATAATAATTAATTAAAAGCAGACTGAGAGCATGTAGGTCAGGATAAATCCAGGAAGATTAGTAGGAAGTGACAATGGATGATCTGGTATATGTGCTGGGTTGAATCCTTTTTTCTGAAACTATCATCTCTTCCTGTCCAAATCCTAGCATGGTGGTTCTCAAACTTAGTGCATCAGAATCACCTTGGATGACTTATTAAAACAGAATGTCAGGCTTCCCGACCCCAGAACTTCTATTTGATTAAGTTGGAATAGAGCTTAAGAACTTGCATTTCTAACAAGTTTCCTGATGTGATAGATACTACTGGTCCAGGAACCACACTTTGAGAACCACTCACCTAGCTATTATTCAAGGTCCATCTCAAATGCTCTCTCCTCCAGGAAGTCTTCCCTAATTTCCCAAACTGGATGTGTTCTCTCCTTCTTCCTGCTCCCCATGTCCTCAACCCCAAGTTTAGTACAGAATAGCACATAATGGCAAGTACTCAATATTTGTTGAGATGAATTTTATAAGAAAATAGCTGTTTTGATGATTTGGAGGGAATAGAAAGTCACCTATTTGGTCATGCTGTGACCACCATCTCAACAAACCTAGGAATCCTCACTGTGCAACAGTCATTTAATTACGGTTTTCATTGGTCACGTGGCATGACAGAAGCAGCAGCAAGAGCTACCCGGACATTTCAGTGCCTGGGCTGGGGGTGGAAAACGCTGGCTCACATGGCTCACTGAGTGCCGTGCCGTGAAGTCCACTCTTCACTGTCATCACCATGCCCCCTTGCTACCATTCTTCCTCAAATCAGTTCCTCCTTAACGATCATTTAATTAAAAAAATTTTTTTATTATTATTTTATTTATTATTTTTTTAAAGCAGGCAGTAGACTTTCTCAAAGTTGGGATATTTCCTCTAAGATGATATTGTTTTGGAACCTAATTGCTGTATTATCTTTGGCTAGAAATGACAAGGACTAAATTAGAGCCAGGAGGTCTAGATTCCAGTCTTGGAACTGTCTGATAACTGCTTAAATTTTGCCAGATGACCACTATTTGGGTTTCCTTTCACCTCTGTGCCCTCCTCTTTACCTATAGTTTGATTAGATGAGGGAATGTATGATAAAGCATTTGTAAAAGTATGATGTGTGACAGAAGTATTGCTAAGTTAGTAGGGTAATAATGATCAGGCAAATCATGGAGATCAGAGACACCCCCATACCATTAAGAAAGGTGTTCTCAAACATCAGCATATTGGGGCGCCTGGGTGGCTCAGTTGGTTAAGCGACTGCCTTCGGCTCAGGTCATGATCCTGGAGTCCCGGGATTGAGTCCCACATCGGGCTCCCTGCTCGGCGGGGAGTCTGCTTCTCCCTCTGACCCTCTTCCCTCTCGTGCTCTCTATCTCTCATTCTCTCTCTCTCGAATAAATAAATAAAATCTTAAAAAACAAAACAAAACAAACAAACAAAAACATCAGCATATTGGCTCAACCACTTCTTTTATATACAGCTGTCATCACTGGTTGGCTTTCCTGTGGCTTACTGATGAATTAAAAAAAAAAAAAGACAAAACTAAGTGGTCAGTCCACCATCTTCAGTGTAATCTACCAGTCCTCAGGATAAGTCTCTCTCCCACAACTTCAGGAGAAATCTAGAGAAAAATCTCACCAGAACTTCAAAAGGCTTTTTTTTTTTTTCTTTAATACAAGGTTGGTTTTTCTTGGTCAGCAATTGAAATGATAACCCTCTCCCTTAGATCTGCAACTGAACAATGTACAGAATAATATTGTGTGGAAATTGTCAAATGTGAACTTTTCTCATCTCAAGGATCTGTAGTTATTTCTTGGTCAACTGGAGTTTCAGGGCCTTATTTATGTATCTCTTCCAAGTGCTAGCCAGTCCCAGGCCAATAGGATTCCCAGAGGCCTTCTTTCAAAGATTTACTTATTTATTTGAGAGAGAGTGCGAGCGAGCGAGAGCATGAGTGGGAGGGGCAGAATCTCAAGCAGACTCCCCACTAAGCATGGAGCCCAACACAGGGCTTGTTCTTATGACCCTGAATTCATGACTTGAGCTGAAATCAAGAGTCAGACGCTTAACTGACTGAGCTACCCAGGCACACCAAGAGACCTTCTTTTAGAACAGACAAAATGAAAAATACTTGGATCTAACATCTTCTGCCAGGGCTGACCTTCCAATGTTATTCTGGCATATGTAATACTAAGAGTCCTTATCAGTTACAATTCGAGATAAGTCCAACCCTGCTAGTCACTGAGATGAGGACAAGTAAAGATCATCTGATTACCAGTGTACAACTTGCTTGACAGTCTAGGGGAGCAAAGACAAGGTTAAATGCTGAGTGCAGTGAAACTGGAAGGGAGTTAAGGAGACTGTCATTTATTTGCTAATGGAGAGTCAGTGTTGTGGGTTAATAGCATGTCCAAAAAGTTCACTTTGAAATACTTTAAAACGTGCTACAAAGAACTGCAAAATACTCAGCTCTCCAAGTTCTTCTGTCATCTACGAAGATAATTCTGTATTAAGTGATAATTGCTATTGTAATTCCCAGTTATGTTTATAGAGAGGATTCCCGTTATCCTAGCCCACAGCTAATACAAATAATAATACCTTGCTGGTATGGATACTATAATTTATTTTTATTTTTATTTTTTTAAAATTTTTATTTATTTATTTGACAGAGAGACACACAGCTAGAGAAGGAACACAAGCAGGGGGAGTGGGAGAGAGAGAAGCAGGCTTCCCGCGGAGCAGGGAGCCTGATGCGGGGCTCGATCCCAGGACCCTGAGATCATGACCTGAGCCGAAGGCAGACGCTTAACGACTGAGCCACCCGGGCGCCCCTATAATTTTTTTTTAAAGATTTTATTTATTTGACAGAGAGCGAGCCCATGAGGGGGCCCTGGGATAATGACCTGGGCTGAAGGCAGACAACTCAACCGAGCCACCCAGGCACCTCACAATGAATTTTTTAAAAATAAGAAATAGTGCATAAAAAGTCTATTTAACAATAAATTTATATTTTTAAAGATAGTGACTTTTTGGTACATAATCCTGATGGCTTTTAACAGTTGTTCTGGACCAGCAGGCAGGAGCCCCAGGTTCTGACTGTAATCTCAGCTCTGCCTCTTACTTTTTGGAAACTTAGACAAGTCACAACCACTGTGAGTGTATTTCCTCAACTGTAAAATGAGGATTTGGACTGGACATTACATGCTTTTAATAAAGTTGAAAGACATGTCTTGAAGTGTGTTGTGATTTCTGCAGAGTTTTATTTTGTTTTTGTATTGTTTTGGTGGGTTTTGTTTTTTGCTTGTCATTTGTTTTGGTGGGGAGTGTGGTGGTGGTGGTGACACAGATAAAAACTGTGTATGGCTCTTGGTGCTGTACCTCAGAAAAAAAGTCCTATTCATGCTGTTCAATGCAGACAAAAGGGATTCCCTAAAAATTCTCAGGCCTCATAGGATAGCTAGATTTCATGAAGCACCTTTCAGTGTATTAGATTAAGAAAAGACAATTCATAGTTTTCCTTGAAAAGTTATTTTAATAGCAGCACATGTGTAACCCTCTACAATTTTAGGTATAGGAACTGTCTATTTTTCTGAATTTATAACATGAAGTAGAGTGGAACTAGTCCAGAAATACCTATTCAAAAAAAAAAAAAACAAGGAAAGACCATCTAGAACTTAAAGTTTTGCACAGACTATCCATTAGTCATAATTCTTTAATTTTTTAAAAATATTTTATTTATTTATTTGAGAAAGAGAGAATGAGAGACAGAGAGCATGAGAGAGGGAAGAGGGTCAGAGGGAGAAGCAGACTCCCCGCTGAGCAGGGAGCCCGATGCGGGACTCGATCCTGGGACTCCAGGATCATGACCCGAGCCGAAGGCAGTCGCCCAACCAACTGAGCCACCCAGGTGCCCTAGTCATCATAATTCTGTGTTCTACATAGAATTTAGCATGTTGACATGTTAAAATATTATTGTGACCTATTTTATGACTGACTGCTTCTCCTGTCTCCTCCCAAAGGCAGGGAGAGAAATTTCTTATAATATGCCTGCTCACAGAAAAAAGGTGAAGACCCCACATAGTTAAGCTTACTAAAGCCTATTAAAATAGCCTACATCTTTTAGCTTCTGCCTTCTGAAACTACTCTTGACTACCATTGACTTCTAAATGCCAAATTCAGTAAGTGGACACTTACCAGTTCTTGTCCTGTGTCCCATTAGTAGCATTGGCTATAGCTGGCTGAAGCTCCTGGTATCTTTAGTGACACCACCCTCTTCTGCTTCTTCTCTGATAGTCCCTCATCTGTCGTCTTTATAGAATCCTCTTCCTGCACCCAAAATTCAAATGGTGGCATGCCTCAAAAATTTGCATGTGCCTCTCTTCTCCTCACTTTATACATTCTTCTTGGTCAACTTCATCTACAGCCATGGCTTCTATCATCTACCCAGGGACGATTCGCAAATTTCTTATCTCCTCCCACATCTTTCTCCTATATCTAGAACCATATTTTAAACTGTACTGCCTACTGGATGGATGTTTCAGAGATACAGCAAATTCACATGTATAAGAATTGAATCCATTCTAAGTTTCCACACATAAGATACTGCCACCTTCTGATTTTCCTCTCAATTACTTACACCATTATCTGCAAGTTGCCCAAGTCACAAACTAGGATTTTATTAAAACACCCCCAACCACCAATATCTAATCAGACCTGTTCATTAATAAATGAATACTAAATCTCTCTTGAATTTTCTCCTTCCTCTCTCTCCAGCCTTATTTGGGCACTGGTCTACAATCTTCTATATTTGAAAGTGGTTTCCCCTCACCCCCTTTGTGTTTTATCTTTTCTCCCTATTTATAGTGGTGTGCTCATTCACTTACAGACTTTGGAAAATAGAGTAGAATAAGTCACCTCTGACTTCATTGCCTTCAAATAGTCTTTGTCTACATTTGGAGATACCCTTCTAATATTTTTCTCTGTAACTTTAAGAAAGTAGAATCATGGATAGTGATTTTTAAAAAACACAAATCTGTCATCCACTCCTCTATTAAAATAATATAACGGGGCACCTGGATGGCTCAGCTGGTTAAGCAGCTGGCTCCTGATCTCAGCTCAAGTCTTGATCTCAGTGTTGTGAGTTCAAGCCCGGTATTGGTGTTGGGGTGTGGAGCCTACTTAAAAATAAACAAACAAACAAATAAATAAAATAATGTAACAGACCTCCATCTGTTTCCTCAGTATGGTATTCAGGAACCTTCACCAATGGCCTTTGATTTTTCCCTTCCACAAAATTCTCTTCATGAAAATCAACTCAGAGCAACTGCTGTTCTTAGAATGTTACGCTTTCATCCCCCCACCGCGTTCTTTCTGCCTGAAATGTTCTCCCTTCCCAGTTCCCACCCATCTGACCATCTCAGCTCAAGCAAACCTACTCTGTGACACTTCTGCGGGCCTGCCACAGGGATAGCTGTCCCTTTTTTTTTGTAGGTTATAGCATAACTGCTCACTTCTGTTTTTTGAAGAGAAGTCTTTCCTTTGTATTCCTGACATCTAGCATGGTGCCTAGCATGTAGCTGCTGCTCAACAAATGTTTAATAAAAGAAGAATGAACAGAACAGGGGGTCTCAACCTCACCTCTAAAGCTAACCAATAGCCAACACTATGCTTTAAAGCATGAAAAGACTCCTTTAAATTATACATAATCGAATGCCATCTTTCCAGGTATGAAATACAAATACCTTAACTTAAAATAATTTTTCAGATTAGACAGATCACCTGGCAGGGAACCTAGAGAATGAGAGAACCATACTAGTAAAATTTAAAGTAGTGAGAATGGAATCCATAATAGGCCAGAGTATAAATACTGCCCAGGGAAGGCAGTATGGACACAGGAGCCTCTCGAGAAAGGACAGGGAGCACTGAAAAAAGGAGTGTTTGGGCAAACTGGAATTTAAAGTTTGTTTACTTTTTATTGAAGCCTGGGGATACACTAGACATCTGGTTTTCAATTAGTGAACTGATTACTGGGGTGGGGAAGCAAACCACAACCAAAACCCAGTCAACCTAACGTGGAGAAACAAAAAGCCTACTATACTGACTAGCTCTTGCTCTCTCTTTCCTACTTCTTTCAGTGTGAGGCTGTATTAGGGACTGAATTGTGCCCTGCCCCCCTCCCCCCATTTATGCGCTGTAGCTCTACCCTCCAATATGACTGCATTTGGAAAAGGGGCCTTTAAGAAGTAATTAAGAATAAATGAGGTTATAAGGGTGGGGCCCTTATCCAATAGGACTGGCATCCTTGCATAAGAGGAAGAGATCACAAAAGTGTGTGTGCACAGCAAAAAGGCCATGTGAAGACACAGCAAGTCTGTGAGTCAAGGAGAGAAGCCTCACCAGAAACCAAGCCTGCTAACACCCTGATCCTGGACTTTCCAGCCTCCACAACTGAGAGAAAATAAATTTCTGTTGTGTAAGTCACCCAGCTTGTGGTATTCCATTCTGGCAGCCCTAACAGACGAATACAGGTTGTCATATGAATTCTCCTGCTCAAAATGTAAATTTAAGAGAATTTAGAACTAGAATCATCAGATAACAACAAATAGAAATGTAAGGTATTATTAACTTGAATGAGTATTTAAATCCCATCCCCCATCCATCGGGCCAAAAAAGCAGCTTTTAAGTCTAATGAAATACTAAAATATAATTCTTTCCATGATGAGGCAAGGGTAGGAAGGGGATAAAATCTTCCACAGTGAGGTGGAGGATAAGCAAGAAAACTTGAAAAGGAGAACATCAAAGTGAGAAGGCCCCTAACACAAGGAACCATTATCTTCCCTCACGCACATAAATTCTTGCTCCTTACCATTCCTCTGGGGCTCCCCAGATTCCTGCTCCTGCTGACTCTTCCTGGGACGGAGCTGTGCAGTCAGTGGCTCATGGGGTCTTCCCAGGGGGGTCAACTTCTCCAGAAGTGTGTCCTGTCTTTCTGAATTGGCTGGGACCTGGGAACAATGAGGTATGATTGGCCTTGTAAGGTAGATTTTGTGAAAGAACTTCAGAGAAAAGATCAAAAGAAGCATTTGCCTGGGACCAGGAACACAAATGGGAAAAATTCATTCAACTGCAAATGGCAATAATGACAAAAAAGAAGAGGCAGAAACTAATCTCTACACTTCAGGCCACCGGAGAGTGAAATTCAGTCTCTTCTCTCAATGACCGCAGGGGTCCAGGATCGGTATTCTGACTTGGAAAGAACCTCAAAAATTATCTCGCCCAACCTTCACCGAACGGGGGCATTTCTTCTCTAACCGCACTGTCCAGTATGTTAGCTACAAGCCCAGGGTGGGCGCTTGAAACGTGCTTCGTAGGAACGGAGATACCCAACGTGTACAATATACACTGAATTTTAAAAACAATATAAACAAGGAATGAAATTTAAAAACAATATAAACAAGGAATGCAAATATAAACTCATTTTTTATATTGATTACATGATTATTCTGGGTTAAAAAATATTTAATTTCACTTTTTAAAATTTGGTACTAGAGAGTTTTCACTACACACATGGCTCACATTACATTTCTTTTCGACAGTGCTGTTCTGTGGCATCCTTGACATCTGTTTAAACCCACCTTGACTATTTCCACGGAAAGGGTTTTCTTTTCCTTTTTTTAACCAGGTAGCCCGTTTTTTAATAGAAAGCTATGAATGTCGGAGATTCTTTGTTTGCCTCTGTTACCGGCTTGCCTTCCCGTAACTTCTCACGGGCCCGCCCTTACAAACTGCACCAGTTTCCTGTGTCTGCACCAGTTACCTGGCACTGGCCGGTCCCTCGCTAAGCCTCGTTCTTCTCTACGACGACCTATCCCATGCCTCCAGCTGTTCTTTCACGGGCTTTTCCCTTCTGCTTTGGCTCGGTCCGTACGCCCTGACCTCTCCCAGCCACACGGGCGTCCCCTTCCCACCTGCTGCCGAGGCTCCTCCAGCTCCCGCTCCAGATCCTCCAGCACGGTCACCGCCTCCTCGCCCGTCTTCGGACGGTGCGCCTGCACCCAGGCCTGCAGGTCCCTGGGAAGAATGCTCAAGAACTGTTCGAGCACCAGCAGGTCTAAAATCTGCTCCTTGGTGTGGCACTCTGGCCTCAGCCACTGGCGGCAGAGCTCCCGGAGCTGGGTAAGGGCTTCACGGGGCCCAGGCGCATCCTGATAGCAGAGCTTCCGGAAGTGCTGCCTGAAGACCTCCCTCTTGTGAGGGGTGTAGTGCCGTGAGACGGCGTCCCGGCCCCAGCGGCGTGGCGCCGCCTGAACTCCGGCAGCTCCTTGCCGTCCTTCGCGCGCCGGGGCTGCGGCCATCGTGCGCGGCGCGTGAGATTAACCCTCTCCGGGGCCGATTCCAGGGGAAGCGCCGTTACCGCGGAGATGCGGCAAGAGCTGCCGTGAACACGGACGCGCGCGAATGAAGGCAAGCGGGCGAGCAGGGGCACGGGCTCACATCTGCGCGCTAAGGCCCGCAGGTTCCCTCCGCCGGCCCGCGCCCCAGCGGCCGTCTGTCAAGCTCTCCCGTTTCTCACCGGGCTGAGGAGCAGTCGGCGCTCGTCAGCCCTGAAGAACCGCCAAGTGTCAACAGCCTTGGGGGGAGGCTCGCCGAGTCCACGCCCGAGAGGCGCAGCCGGAGTTCGGCGGCTGTGCGGCAGACGCCGCCTCGCGTCCTCCCCGTCCACTCCCGGAGGCTCGGCCCTCGTCCTCCCCTGCGGAGGCCACGGACGCAGGACAGACTCGCGCGCCACGGCGGCCACCTCTGGGCGGCCCGGAACAAAGGCCGGACTCCAGCCGACCAATGGGCGCCCCGCCGCGGGCCGCCGGCACTTCCGGCCGCTCTAGGAAGCCTCGCCTCGGTGGCCCCGCCCGCGGAGGACCACGTGGACGAGCAGGCTGTGCGCGGGCTCGCGGGCACGCCCTCTTTGTTCTTTTTCGAAACTTTTCCCCTCTCAAGAATTTTTTAGGTTTACTTATTAGATACGTAGTATGAAAAAGTGAAGCATTCACAGAGTTCAGGATTTAAAAAGAGTAAGTGTCCTCCAGCATCTAATTTTGACAGCCCGTGTTTTTCGCGGCACACGTACTGTTCTGTAGACCATCAGGCAGGTACATGCCACCCTCGCTTTCCTCCTGCACAAATGGTAGCATTTCTGCGCCTTGCTTGCTTCCTTCTAGCAACTAATATTGGAGATTGTGCATAAAGGGTTTCCTCGATCTTGCCTTTTTTTTTTTTTTTAAACAATTGCATAGTATTCATCGTAGGTGCCATCATTCATTCATAATTACCCCATTGATAGGCAGGTTGTTTCCAATCTTCTTTTTGAAACGCTGCTGCAATAGATTACTGTAAACATGTATCTTTCTCATGTGTAAGGGTATTTACATAGTATATATTCCTAGAAATAGAATTACTAGAGTACAGAGTAGGGACATTTGTACTTTTGTTAGTGCCAAATTACCAACCATAGAACCTACTAGAGATGTTCCTGTTTACCTATACTTGTCAACACAATATCATAAGATATTTTGATGTTTGCCAATCTGATGGGTTAGAAATGCTTAGTTTTTTTTCCCTCCCTCTTTCTCTTTCTTACACAAATATTGATTATTCACCGGCTATGCCAGGCACTGTTCTGGAAGCTGTAACTATAGTTTAAAGGAAAATAACACTCTTGACTTCATGGAATTTGTAATTTAGTATGTGTGCTCCTGCGTATGAGGTAGGGAGGCAGGCAACAAACAAGAAAAATATATAGTATATTAGATGGTGGATGTTAGTGCCAAGGAGAAAATGAAGGAAATGAGAAGTTTGGAGTGAGAATGAAGTAATACAGTTTTAAATAGGGTGGTCATGGAGGACCTCACTGGTACACTGACATTTGAGCAAAGACTGAGGGAGACGAGCGAGTGCATCGTCAGGGGTAAAGCTGTTTCAGGGAGAGGGATAGCACATGCACAGCCTGGAGTGGAGTGTGTTTGAAATATTCCAGGCACAGGAAGGAGGCTTGTGTGCCTGGAGCTAAGGCATCAAAAGGGTGTTGGGAGTAGAGAGAGGGAAAGATATGAAGGTCTCGGGTGAGTTCAAGGATACATATATTGTTTTACTCCAAGATGGGAAGTCATTCAGAATTTCTGAGCAGGAGAGTAACATGTTCAGCTACAGGTATTGAAAAGAGTTTTCTGGCTGCTGTGTTAAAAATAAACTTGTAAATGAAGGGGGCTGGACAAGGACAGAGCAGGGAGATGGGCTGGGAAGTTATTGCTACTTTGGAGTGGGGAGGGTTCTAAGCATGACATAAAACCCTAAAGACATATGACTGAGAACCCATAAAGAAAAAGATAGATGGAACTGGTGATGCAAAAATTTGGAATTTTAAATGAAAAATATAAAAACTAAAGTATAAACTCAGAGTAAAATATGTCACCCATCTAAAAGACACAGGACTGATATTCCTAATACACAAAGACCTCTTACAAAAAAATAAGAAAAATATTCCAAGCCAATAGCAAAATTGGCAAACAACTTAGGTAAGCATTTATAGAACACAAATAGACAACATGAAAAGGTGCTCAAGTTCACTAATAAAGAATTTAAATTAAAACAATAACAAAATTTTTAAAATTGTTCAGATTACTAAAGATAAAAAGATTGGTCATATTTAGTATTGAAAAGTGTGTGAAAATACTGGCACTCTTGGGCTGGTATATTTTCAGAAGGCAAGACTTTAAAATTAGTATGTCCATACCTCTTGATACAACAACTTAGCTTCTTGGAATTATTTATATAGAAATACTTACACAAAGGGCGACTGGGTGGCTCAGTCATTTGAGCCACTGACTCTTGATTTTTGCTCATGTCATGATCTCATTGTCTTGAGACTGAGTCCCACTTCGGGCTCTGCACTCAGCAGGGAGTCTGCTTGAGATCTCTCTCCCTCTGCCCCTCCCCTGGCTCTTGAACTCTAAAATAAATAAATAAATCTTTAAAAAATACATAAATGTTCAAACATATACAAAGAAACATTGTTCATTTAAATTGGGAAAACCCAAATGTCCACATTTGGGAATTTAGATTTTTTATATCCCCAACTTTTTTAAAAGCTAAAAATTAAAAGATGCCAAAGGCATATTGAATTAAAAAAGTAAGTTACAAAACAGTATATGATTGTTTTTGTAGAATAATTATCTTAAGTGTTTTTTTTTAAAGATTTTATTTATTTATTTTGACAGAGAGAGAGAGAGACAGTGAGAGAGGGAACACAAGCAGGGGGACAGGGAGAAGCAGGCTTCCCACTGAGCAGGGAGCCCCATGCGGGGCTCGATCCCAGGACCCTGGGATCATGATCTGAGCCGAAGGTAGATGCTTAACGACTAAGCCACCCAGGCGCCCCCTAAATGTGTTCTTAACTGGGGTAAACTTACAGAGAATTTCATTTCATATTATATATTTCTGTAAAAGTAAACTTTTTTTTTTTTATTAAAGATTTTAAGTAATCTCCCTGCACCCAGCGTGGGGCTCAAATTTACAACGCCGAGATCAAGAGTTGCATGCTCTATGGACTGAGCCAGCCAGGCACCCCTCTAAAATTTAACTTTTTACAAAAATTTATTACTGGTATAAACAGGAAAGATACTTGTTTTAAAACCTCATTTATTCTTCACAACCCACAAACAATTTCCCTGTTTGGGAAATGTCCTCCATATCCCTTTCTCTCTGAAATTCTTTGCCCAACAGTTCATCTTGTAAAAGGACATAACTCTTTTAAGATGAAAATCAGATTCAACTTCACTATGCTTCGTAGGGCAAATATAAGTGATCAAATAAACTTGGGTGGGGAGTGCCTGGGTGGCTCAGTCGGTTAAGCATCCAACTCTTGATTTCAGCTCAGGTCATGATCTCAGGGTCCTGAGATTGAGCCCCTCATCCGGCTCTGTGCTCTGTGGGAGTCTGCTTCTCTCTCTCTCTCTCTCTCTATCTCTCTCTCTCTCTCTCTCTCTCTCTTCCTCTGCCCCTCCCCCAGCTCATGTGCTCTTTAAAATGCAGCCACTCTGGAAAACAGTATGGAGGTTCCTCAAAAAGTTGAAAATAGTGCTACCGTACGACCCAGCAATTGCACTACTGGGTATTTACCCCAAAGATACAAATGTAGGGATCTGAAGGGGTATGTGCACCCCAATGTTTATAGAAGCAATGTCCACAATAGCCAAACTGTGGAAAGAGCCAAGATGTCCATGGAGAGATGAATGGATAAAGAAGATGTGGTATATATACACAATGGAATATTGTGCAGCCATCAGAAGGAATGAAATCTTGCCATTTGCAACGACGTGGATGGAACTGGAGGGTATTATGCTGAGTGAAGTAAGTCAATCAGAGAAAGACATGTATCATATGACCCCACTGATATGAGGAATTCTTAATCTCAGGAAACAAACTGAGGGTTGCTGGAGTGGGGGTTGGGAGGGATGGGGTGCCTGGGTGATAGACAGTGGGGAGGGTATGTGCTACGGGGAGCGCTGTGGATTGTGCAAGACTGTTGAAACACAGACCTGTACCTCTGAAACAAATAATGCATTATATGTTAAAAAAAAAAAAAGATAGCAGGAGGGGAAAAATAAAGGGGGGGAAATCGGAGGGGGAGACAAACCATGAGAGACTATGGACTCTGAGAAACAAACTGAGGGTTCCAGAGCAGAGGGGGTGGGGAGATGGGTTAACCTGGTGGTGGGTATTAAAGAGGGCACGTTCTGCGTGGAGCACTGGGTGTTATGCACAAACAATGAATCATGGAACACTACCTCAAAAACTAATGATGTGATGTATGGTGATTAACATAATAAAAAAATAAATCTTTTAAAAAAATTAAAAAATAAACCTAGAAAGGTCATTTAGGAAACGCAGAAATGAGTAACTTCCAAGTAAGCCAGCTTTAGAGAACTGTCCTCTCTGGGAGAGAAATTTAAAAACAGCATAACCTCTGCTCTTCTTTCCATTAGAAGTACATGATGGAGAGCCAACCCCTTCCCTTGACTGTGGCGCAAAACGTCCTCATAGCCTGAGCAAATTAAAACTGCAGACAATGCTCAGCTGTTCCCTGCCGCCTCCTTCAGGGCAGTGCACTTACCAGCATGTTTCTCCCTCCTTATCTAATTCTGGTACCAAATTTTCTCACCAGGTTCCAAACACACACCCTGCTCCAGGTCCTGAACTTCCTAAGGAATCCAGAATATTCTTCAGGTATGCCCCCAGCTTCAGGCTGCCATCAACTTCACACAATCAGCTTGCCAGAGCCTTGGAGCACCTGGCTGTGGAAATGTGAATGGTTGAACATCAGTCAGAATGAGGCTTCCTGGTAAAACCCTGGTCCTTGGCTTGGTTACGTCCTTCCTCTACCTGGATAAGCCTCTCTGCCTTCATGATTGAGGCATAAGCAGGCAGTCCAGTGTATGACGCCCAGGGCCCTCTTCTTCTCTATTTAGATCTCCCAAAGCTACTAAAAACAAAAAACCACCCCACAAAAACACTAGTGGACTGTTTAAAAATAACAGCATTCAGTGGATGTATATTCTCACTTGCTTTCATTATTTAAAAAGACAAAATGAGGGGCGCCTGGGTGGCTTAGTCGGTTAAGCATCTACCTTTGGCCCAGGTCATGGTCCCAGGGTCCTGGGATCAAGCCCCACATCAGGCTGTCTGCTCAGCAGGGGTCTGCTTCTCCCTTTCTAGCTCCCTCTGCCTCTCCTCCTGCGTGTGCTCTCTTTAATAAATAAGTAAAATCTTAAAAAATGAAATTTAAAAAGAGAAAATGAATGAACTAAGCATTCAAGAAATTAGAAAAAGGATGAGAAGGGAATCCCCAAGGGAAAGGTTAGAAAAGAAATAAGGATAAAAGCAGAAGGAAATGAATTACAACAAAGAAAAAGTGACATTAATAGATCCAAGAATGAAACATTTGTAAACAAGCCTATTAAAAACCACAAACCTGTAAGAACTGGGGCAGCTGGAGTCATGGCAAGGCAAGCATTTAAAAGTTTCTTCCCCTCTTCCGTGGAGTTTTAGTTGAAAGGAGTGCGGCTAAACCTATAATCAAAGGAGGTATTATGCTTCCAGAAAAATCTCAAGGAAAAGTGTTGCAAACAACAGTAGTAGTTGTTGGATGGGGCTCTAAAGGAAAGGGTGGAGAGATTCAACCAGTTATTGTGAAAGTTGGAGATGAAGTTCTTTTCCCAGAATATGGAGGCACCAAAGTAGTTCTAGATGACAAGGATTATTTCTTATTTAGAGATGGTCACATTGGAAGTATGTGGACTGGAATCATTATTAAAATGGCGTGAAGTGAAGCTGCTCATTCCAGTGAAGTGAAATCTTTCATCATGTAAATAATTTTCATGTCTGTCTTTTATAATAAACTAATGGTATCCAAACTAAAAAAACAAAAAACACAAAAAACCCCACAAACCTACAGCAAATCCAATGGAAAGAAAACATTTAAGAATTGTAAATGACCAATAGCAGATGAAGAAGTAAGTATGCTACCAAAATTTTAGAAAATCTCAACGAAATTGGTGATTTTCAGGGAAAGAACCCTTAGTTCCAAAATTCACTCAAGAAGTAGCAAAATCTATGGGGCACCTGGCTGGCTCAGTTGGTGGAGAGTCCAGTTCTTGATCTCGGGGTTGTGAGTTCGAGCCCCATGTTGGGTATAGAGATTACTTAAGAATAAAATATTTTTTAAAAAAGGTAGAAAACTCTAAATAAACCAGTCCTAAGGAAATAATTGAAAAGGCTATCAAAGAATCATCTCCAGAAAGACTCAATTCTGTAGTATTTTAATTTTAAAAAAAGTGTTTACTACATGTGTATGATGAATTCTAACTTTTCCATTTGGAATATACAGAGAAATAGAAAGAAAAGGTGAGACTCATTCCCTTTTCATTACCTAAATACACTGTTGACATTTTGTTACTTCCAACTTTTAATATTTTAAGTCTGTTTTAGGCATTATATTCTAAAAATACTTTTATAGGCTGTTTAACATTTAAATGTATTAAAAACTTTTCATTTTATTATAAACCTTTCATAAGAATAAATTACATCTACACATTGAGATAATAAATAGTACCTTACAGAAGAGTTGGAACGTTGACATCAGATACAACATGCTGGATGCTGGACACAACTGACGTTCAACAAATGGCAGCCATGATTGTCAGAGTTTGCAAAGGACTTTTCCTTTTGCTACATCACTTAATTAATTTATAATGGGTATTTCTATCTCACAACACACTTTTTCCTCTTTAGGAGGAATGGGTAAATTACAAGTTTCCCAGAGAGGCCAAGCATGAATTCTTTAAAAAAAAAAATTATTTATTTATTTGTTTAGAGAAGGGGGAGAGTGCGGGCACATGCACCAGCCAGGGTGGCGGGGTGGTACAGAGGGAGAGAGAGAATATTAAGCAGGCTGCACACCCAGCACCTAACTGACTCGGGGCTTGGCTCAATTTCATGACCCTGAGATCATGACCTGAGCCAAAATCAAGAGTCAGATGCTTGACCGACTGTGCCACCCAGGGCCCCCACCAGAAATGTATTCTTGCTCCTGGGGGAGAATCCTCCTGCTTGGCTGGTTTTGTGAAGGCAGAGTCCAGGCTGAGCAGGGTTGAACAGTCTTTTTCTATACCTAAGGAGAAGTGTCCTGTGTCCCAACACTCAGAGACCCATGCAGGGCCAGGGTCCTGAGTGACAAAGAAACAGTAGTGAACTCAGATTTGGGTGAGGGCCTTTCATTTATTAGCTTGAGAGAAAGCAAGAGAGCAAGAGACAGAGCACAGAGGGAGAGAGAGAGAAGCGGACTCCTGCTCAGCAGAGAGCCCGACGTGGAGCCCAATCCCAGGACTCCAATCATGCCTTGAACTTAACTGTCTGAGCCACCGGGCGTCCCTCCACTCCCATTTCTTTAAATCATGCTTTCTCACTTCATGTTTTCACTACCTTTGCTCTGGCTTCCTGTTTGCAGTTTGTTTTCCTGGTGTCTCTGTCCATTCTCCTTCCCTCCGTTTATCCTAGACCTTCCCATATTCATAGCTTTTTCTTCTCACCTCTCCCCAGTCTCCCATTTGGGCCTCATCCCACAGTCTTCCCACAGCTGCTCCTGTCACTAAATGCTTCAGATCTCCAAGCTTCTCTTTCTGAGCTGCACCTCCGCTTTCGGCCCCAGGCCTTCTCACTCTGACATGAGTGTCGAACCCCATCACGTGTGGTGTTCTCATCTCACCCAAACAACTAGTCTCCACAGGTTTGGCTTGAAGCTACTACAGCTGACTTTCAATAATTACCTATACATTCTATCTAAGGAAAATTTTAAAGTGGCTTTCCTCTACCTTCAGGTGTGCAAGTACACACTTTTAAACTTATTTTTTAATCTAAATCTTCAAGCTGTTGTTAGCAGAAAGCCCTTTCTTCAGAGAAAATCTTATTGGGGAACGGTGTGTAAAACTAAGGTGGAACTCTTGGTGGCAAGCTGCCCTGGAACCCGCAAGCCCGAGAAGCCCTTAGGGCAGGCAGGGCTCACCCAGGTAGGAGGAGGAGGGAGCGGCGGGAGACCCCAGGAAGCTGTGTGGCAGTGGACCGCATCTAAACACACAGTAGTGATAATCTGTTCCAGTCAACTCTTGCCTTCTGGGAATATGCCATCTAGTGTTGCCACATCACGCATTTTTTAAGAAAATCCAGAAAGTCATATTTTATGTGAAATCGCTAGATTTTTAAAAAATTGGGGCACCTGGGTAGCGCAGTCAGTTGGCCGTCTGATTCTTGATTTTGGCTCAGGTCATGATCTCAGGGTCATGAGATCGAGCCCTGTGTTGGGCTCCATGCTCAGGGCAGTCTGCTTGGAACTTTCCCTCTCCAAATAAATAAACCTTAAAAAAACAGCTTTAAAAATTTGGAATAATTTTATATATTATTGAAGAAAATAGCATTTGGGAAAAATACACATGCAGGCCAAATACAGCCCACTGGCCCGTTTGCCATCTCTGGTGGAAGATGTGAGGGGTCACTGGAATGTGCGTGATCCACCCTCCTTTCCTACCTGCACAAATCGTTCATCCCAGATTACAGAGTGGTTTTTGTATTCACAAAGTTTTCATGTAGATAATTGATAGGCTGATGTCTTTTATCAAGTTAACCTAAAATGCAGGATTTTTTTTTTATGTAGATGAGATGTTAACTCTAAATGCACACTTCAGACAAGACCGTTATTCTAACTCCAAAGAAAACAGGGGGGAGGAGGAGGGAGGGGGCGGCAGCTGTCTCTACAGCCCCCAAGTACCCATCTTACGGGTCACTGAGGTTTCCTGAGCCCTGGCTTCAGAGATGGAAGTCCGAGCATGTGGAAGGACGTGCTCGTTTGGTAAGCTGCCTGGGGATCACCTGTCTCGGCTCCGGAGCATGGCCTGACACATGGCCGTGCCAACTGCCGCGGTGATCACAGAATTCCCCACTGTCACGGTGGCGCCCTCTGCTAGCCGTGCTTTTCTGGCGTTCTGCAGGAATGAGCGCCGACAATCACCAGGGCTCCTCTCCAGTGTGGATTCGCTGATGTACAATGAGGTGTGAGCTCCGCCGGAAAGCTTTCCCACATACGTCACACTCATAGGGCTTCTCTCCGCTGTGGATGCGCTGGTGCCCCACCAGCGCTGAGCTGTGGCTGAAGGCCTTTCCACACTCATCACACTCATAGGGTTTCTCCCCACTGTGGATTCTCTGGTGATGGAAGAGGCCTGAGCTCTGGCTGAAGCTTTTCCCACACTCACTGCACTGGTATGGCTTCTCGCCAGTGTGGACTCTCTGATGCTGAATCAGATGTGAGCTCAGACAGAAAGCCTTCCCACAGTCGCTGCACTGGTACGGCTTCTCTCCTGTGTGGGTCCTCTGGTGTCGAACAAGGCCTGAGCTGCAGTGAAAAGCTTTCCCACACCCATTGCATTGGAAAGGTTTTTCTCCAGTGTGGGTCCTCTGATGCGGAACAAGGTGTGAACTGTAATAAAAGGCTTTTCCACACTCATCACACTGATAGGGTTTTAACCGGTTATGTATTCTCTGATGGTCAATAAGTTGAGAGCTCTGGATGAAAGTTTTGCCGCACACATTACATGAATAGGGTCTTTCTCCAGCGTGGATTCTTTTATGTCTAATGAGGCTTGAGTTTTGAGTGAATCTTCTCCCACATTCGTCACACTTATATCTTTTCTCAGTTGAAGTGTTTCTCTGATATCTTTTTGTCCATCCTTCATGTTCTTGGGTCTCTCCACATTCAGGGACCTTTCCATTCATTTGGCCAGAGAACGTTTTTGGAGACTCCATATCTACAGTAAACTCCTGCTTTTGAATCAGTTCTCCTTTCTCAGTTCCGATCACATCATCTGAAACAAAAAGGATAGATTTCAAATATCAATGACATATACGGGAAATAAAATTAAACCCATATACTAGCAGCACACAGCTTAACTATACCAGCAAAATAGTTTTACAACATCTGAGGAAGAAAGTGGGAGACTGCAAAGGAAGAGAGGACTAGCAGTGTCTGGACTAGCAGGGCATGATTTGAGCAGAGTGGAGATAAGTCAGGGAGGAATAAGTCAACAACAGAAGAAAAGATCTGAGATGAAAGCAGGTTCCGAGGGGAGAGCAGAGTAGAGAGAGATGAAGGAACAGGACTGTGGGAGGAGCAGAAAGGAAGCCATGGGGGCCAGTGCTGATGTGGAGTCGTGAAGGAGCTCTGTGCAGGTGGCTCCGAAGGCCTCTGGGAGACTGAAAAATGCCGGGTTGGAGCACAGAAAAGTACCTATTTCCAGATATGGAGAGCAAGGAGATCAGAGTCTAGACACATGGGGCACAAAAGGTTGTTATCATGTAGGGACAGACAGAAACTGATTTGGCCCCAAAGACATCACTACTCTTCTTGCAAAGGAGAACCTGGGAGTCTGTCAAGCCTGAAGCTACACTCTGTGGACCACTGAGACTTCCCAGGCAAACAGTCACGAACACAGAGGATGGTCTTTAACAGACCCAGACTCCCATCTGTCCTGACCCCAGGAAAGCATGTTCCCATAATTCCCCTGCTTGACTCTCCTACAAAGGTGCCTCTGAGCAGGGTCCCAACACCCCCATCCTCCAGGGTGGGCCATGTGGCCACTTCCTCAATGGTCAACAGTTGCTGAAAAAAAGTGAGATTGTCCCACTCAGGCCTATTCTCCCTGAAGTAATCCCATTTTAGGGCCCAGAGTGAAGGGCAGAATTTGTAACCATGTAGGAATAATGCAGGGAAAAGCGATATGCTTTTAAATGGGGGGGTGGTGGTGGTGGCAGCAATGGGAGGAAAGACAAGTATGAGACAGCTGAAGATCCAGGAGGCAGTATACATCAGACCTAACCCTAGGCAGAGGCACGGGCCAACCGTGCCAAAACGGGTCAGCTAAGGATACTCTGGGAGAACAGGGGGCAGGAGCCATGGCCAAACTGCAGGTGTGAGCTCTCTGTGGAGGAGGGACAAAGTTCACTGGCACCCCACCTCAGGAAAGTGACAGCCCCCCTGGGTGTCAGGGCTCCCACTGTATGAAGGAGGAGCTGAGAACCAATGCTGCCCAGAGTGGGAGGGGCCTTTCCCTTTCTGCAGGCCTCCTTTTAGGACTGGGGCCTGCGGTAGTTCCTCACCAGATCACCCTGCCACACTCATGAGAAAGTTCTCCTGTTACTGGTTATATAAGGTTATCTTAAAAGTTTGGGGCACTTTAAAACTTTATGTTATAGCTACCTTAGATACATTTGTGTGCAGAATTCAAAGGAAAATCACATCAAGTACACATTTATGTAAGAACATAGTCTTTTAGGGGCGCCTGGGTGGCTCAGTCCGTTGAGCGTCTGACTCTCGATTTTGGCTCAGGTCATGATCTCGGGGTCGTGAGACTGAGCCCTGCGTGGGGCCCTGCTCAGTGCAGAGTCCACTTGGGATTCTCTCTCCCCCTCTCCTCCTGCCCCTCCCCCTGCTCCTGTGCTCACACGTGCTCTCCCTAAATATGATCTTTTAAAAAAGAAAAAAAGAACATAATCTTTTAGAGCCATTAGCAAATATAAAATGTACTATAGGATGGGATCCAAAACATCACTGCACATAGAACAGAAAATTCGTATCAGCATGAGAAAAAACTAATGGATTGTTATTAAAAAACATCATAGTGTAGAAACATAATTTCTAACTGACTAAAAAAGGTTGGGGAAGGGGTTCCCGGCTGGCTCAGCGAGTAGAGTATGTAACTCTTTTTTTTTTTTTTAAGATTTTATTTATTTATTTGACAGAGAGACACACAGCGAGAGAGGGAACACAAGCAGGGGGAGTGGGAGAGGGAGAAGCAGGTTTCCCGTGGAGCAGGGAGCCCGATGCGGAGCTCGTTCCCAGGACCCTGGGACCATGACCTGAGCCGAAGGCAGATGCTTAACGACTGAGCCACCCAGGCGCCCCGAGTATGTGACTCTTGATCACGGGGTCGTGAGTTCAAGCCCCACATTGAGAGTAGAGATTACTTAAAGAAATAAAAATATTAAAAAAAAAAGGTTGGAGAAGATGGTGTACTTCTAGTCAGGGTGGCACAGCAACTTCATAATCTAGCTCCAAATATGCGGAGTGATAAAAGTAAAAATTAATCTCTAACACATCTGTGCTAAACAAGACAAACTTCTCTGTGGACCAGAAAGGAAACCAAACCACAGAATGGTAGCTACAGTTGCAGCCATGGACCCGCTGGGCTCCAGAGAGGGATGGACAGTGGCCCACAGGAAAATGGGGAGTCTGGGTGGGACTCCCAGGCACGCACACACGAGCATGTGGACGGCTCTGCGACCAGGAAGCCCGTCAGGCTGCCTGGAAGCCTGTGATGACACTGACGGTGTGTGTGTGATCACGGGAGCCCTGGTGTGGGTGTGGGGTCGGGTAGAGGGAACCACGGAACGGCTCGGCAAGGAAGGGGAGAATGTACAGCAGATCAGAAAGAACTCAGAATGAGCCCAGAGATGAAAATTTCAAAACACATGAACAGAATGCTAAGGAAGATGGTTAACAAAATCACCACCTGGAACATGAATTCAATCCAGATGAAATTATTCTCATCAAAAAGCCTGAAAAGATGAAAGGTACCTGAAAGAGGTAAGTGATGGGACAGCGTCCATGGCACATAAACACGGAATTATGAAATAAAATCAGTAAAAATGAAACAAGAAAAGATATAAAAACTGAATAGGAATTTCAGAAATGGACAAACTGGAGACAGAATAAACTGGAACATAAAGGACTCCGCTGGGATGTACCACAGAGACAAAGGCATAAAGGGTCTGAAAAGTAGTTCAGCGAAGTGAGTGGATTGATAAATAGGTTCTAACCAGTGTCTTCTGGGAGTCCCTGAAGAAAACACGTAAAGAATAAAAAGACCCATTATATAAAGAACCGATAGCTGAGAATTTTCCAGAAGTGAAGAAAAACATGGGTTCTTAGCAACAGGACATTTATGGGCCAAGCAAGATAAGTAAAAATAAAACGCTATTAGCACACACGTTTTAGTGAAACTTCACATCATAAAGGTTAAGAGTAAATAGAAATGCTATTAATGAGAAAAGATGGTATCCCTAAAAAAATAAAAAAGGCATTTAGACACTGATAATATAGCACACAGCAGAAGCTGGAAGACTAGCTACTAGAAGTAGTACCAGCAAGACCTTCCAAATGCTGAAGAAGAAAATGGTCGATCCGAATTTTACTTTAAAGTGTGAGTAAAAAGGGAGGAAAGGGGAGCCTGGCTGGCTCAGTTGGTGCAGCGTCCAACTCTTGATCTCAGGGTCGTGAGTTCGAGCCCTATGTTGGGCGTGTGGCCTACTTAAAAAATATATATATATATATAAAACATATATATATAACATATATGTTATAATATATATATGTTTAAAAAAGGGGGAGGGCAAAATAAGGGTATTTTCAGACATGCAAAGACTAAGTCTACACCCAAAGAACCTAAGATAATTATTAAAGAATGAACTCCAATAAAAATGAACCCAGAGGAAAGGTACTGGCCCAGAGAATGGTGCTTTTAATAACTGATAAAGTACATCAGGAACTTAATAAACTTGCTATGAAAGAAAAAAACTGATTTCACATTTTAAAGAGAAACTGGTTTCTATGAATGACAACTATAATCTAGGGTGCCTAGGATTAATAGAGTCTAGTTCCTGAGTTACAGGAGAATTTTATTTTATTTTATTATTTATCCTAGTTATAGGAAAAATTTAAAAAGCCCATGAATAATGGAATTTAAATTCCTCTGATTCTCATAGAACCCAGAGGTAGGTCTCATATACCCTGAAAGTTAAAGACATACTGACTCTTTACCTGCTCGCACAAAGCCCTTGTGTTCTGGCCCCTGACCACCTTCTCTCTGCTCTTCTGCCTCTCTTCATGCTCCAGTCACACTGGCCTTCTTTCAAACCCACCTCTTTCCCACCTGTTTTTGTACATGCTCTTAGGCCTACATTGCTTTCCCCTCTACAACTCACCTGGCTACTTTCTACTCTGCTTTTGGGATTTAGCTCCCATGTTACTTCCTCAAAAGGGCCTTCTCTGACTACCTTCTTCTTCCCCCATCTACAATCTGTTATGGTACATTTATTTTGTAAGCTCTGTGAAAGCAAGGATCACGTCTGCTTTGTTCACTATACCCAGTGCCTTGCATGGCGCCTGGCACAGAGTAAGTATTCAATATATATGTGTTCAATGATGAATGATTCTAAGGTCTCCAGGGGAGCCATTTGACCCAAGTGTCAACACTAACCACAATCCTGTTGGTGCTGAGGGTCCTGAGATTCACCCTTAAGCTGGATCTCCATGGGTTGAGGCTGGAGATATGTTGCTTCCTTAGCTGGATCCAGAGGTTCCGAAGTCTCAGAAAGCACTTCCTGTGCACAGGTCTGGGTTGAAACCTGAGAACAAGCAGGCTCATTTGGGCATCTGAAGGGCCCACAGTCTACATGATCCCGAGAGCCCATAAAGGATCAGCCTGGATGCCCACTCCCAACCATCCCTGCACTGAGCACAGGTCCCTTTCTACCTGCTGGTCTGGTTCATCCAATTCCTTCTCCAGATCCTCCAGCACAGCCACGGCCTCCTCCCCGCTCTCCGGGTGCTGCTCCCGCACCCAGGCCTGGAGCTCCTCGGGCAGGATGGTGAGGAACTGCTCCAGCACCAGCAAGTCCAACATCTGCTCCTTGCTGTGTATCTCAGGCCTTAACCACTCACAGCAGAACACCCAGAGCTGGCTCAAGGCCTCACGGGGTCCAGGAGTCTCCTTGTAGCAGAATTGTCGGAAGCGCTGGTGGAATAGCTCCTGGCTTTTTGGGCTGCTCCCCTGTGGGCCAGATCCCTGAACCTTGGCAGGACCTTTTTTGTTGTTTCCTTTGAAGAGCCCCTCTGGCTCTTCAGGAGCCCGTGGAAGTAACACTGCAGCCATTCCAGCTCCAATGGTCAGAGGGGACAATAACAAGTGTTATCTTTCAGGGAACACTCCTAAGGTTATAGAAACCACAGTTAAAAAGAGACACACACACGCTGACTAAATACTTGAACTTACTAAGTCTAATGTTTCTATTTCAGAAGAGCAAGAAGGCTTGACCCAAATTTAAAAAAATATGTTTAAGGTAATTCAAACCTTTTTCTAAGTAGAAGGAATGTTTGTCAAGAAAGAGCATTTTTCATTGTATTGAGAATACTGTTGGACCCCTGCTTTCCAAAAGTAACACCAGAACAATCCATTGATAAGGGCAAGCTGAATTTGTTCTTATGAAGCCTAGCACTACCTTGACAGAGTCTTAGTATCTCCCAGGGAGGGCGGCAAAGTCAGGATATTTATGAGGTTTCAGGGGTTTAAGACAGATCTTTCAAAGCAGAAGAAGGACTGGAGAAGAATCATGACAATAGTAACTGATGAACACAAGATGAAGGTTTTCCGCTGAGGGTTTCAAAAAGTCTGGATCCTATCCATTGAAAGTTGGGAGTCTGAGATTCATTCAGGTGGATTTTTTGAGGGTTAATTTCTTGAAACAAATATGATTATTTGCCACTTTATCTTCTAGGGCAAGGATTTCCTGGAATAGTGGCATGTTGATAAAGATAGTGGAATAGCGTCATATCTAGTGTAGACAAATGAATAGTAAAGTCACCTTAACCTAGGGCGGTAGCAGGCTGTGTGGGTGTAGACGGTTTCAGTTTTCCCCGTAAGAGCAGACGTAAGCAGGGCCTATCTGTTTAAATGCGGACTACCGCTTCATCAGCATGGCGGGCCACGGCGAAGGACGCGGGCTGTGGATTCTGGGAGACCTAGGCTTGAACCGTGTCGTGTTCTCCTATGTGTAGTGGCTTAACCTCTCTAAACCTCTATTTCCCCCCTCTGTAAAAATCTTACCTTTTTTGTAAACGTATTATTTTGAAATAATTTTGAATTTAAAGAAATTTCCCCAAAGGGTGCAGACAGGTCCCTATACCCTTCACCCAGCTTCCCCTAGCGCTAACATCTTACTTACATAACCGCAGCACAGTTAACAAGACCAGGAAAGTAACTGGTTAACTAAACCTTCTGCGTAGGGTTGTTCTGAGAGTAAGCTCGGGCAGGGCGGCGTTGGATTCAGAGCTCGCCCCCGGTAAGACCTCAGTACCGGCTGCAGTGCTCGCCGCGACCCCGTCATCTGGGCGCTGGCTGCGGAGCCCTGCCTCGGTCTCCCCGCACAGAACTCAGGACCACGCACCGAGGCCCCTCTCGTGTCTTGTGTGCGCCTCTCACCGGCTGCCCACTCGGCATCCTTCAGACACACCCTAAGGTGTGTTTCCCCGGCCCTAAGGATTAGGTGAGGGGATTCTGCAGTGGGCTTGCAGGAAGCCAGTTTCGGGGATCATTCTGCCTGCAGGCCGCGGGGACGCGCAGCAGTCCACACCTTCCGAAGAACGAGCCAGGACGGCGGCTGAGCCACGACCCGTCGGGACGCGAGGGGCGGGGGCGCGGCTGCGGAGAAGGCGGGGGTCGGGCGCTGCCGCCTCGCGCTCCTGCGAGCCTGCCTCCCCGGCCGCGGCCTCGGCTCGCCAGCCGAGCGCCGTCAACGTGGGCCCACCTGCCCGGCGGGGAGGACGGCCGCCCGGAGGCGAAGCTGAGGTCCCCCGGCTGGGCGCCGCGCCCTGCGTCCCGCTGTCGGCCCAGGAACAAGCGCGGGGCCCGGGGGCCCGCTCGAGTCCGCACGGCGCGGGCGGGACGCGAGCGACTCTGCTCTGCCCCGGGGTTCCTGCCGCGCGGCCACGCGGGGCGCCGCGAAGGTGACGTCATTTCTGGGCTTACTGTATATCCTGAAACTTAAGACAAAACGGCTCCGCGACCCTGTCACGGGTGTGCAGCCGAGCTGAGCGCCGAGAAGGTGTGGTGCTGCCAGTAGCTGCGCAGCCCCCGTGCACGCGCCACGAGCTGGCGCTTGGCCTAGCAGTCCAGTGCTCAACAGCGTCGGCTATGCAGTCGGGGGGACTTTCTGCGGGAATCCTGAGTTCTCCGATTACTAGTTGAACTCTTCTGAAGTCATTTCCTCTCCAAATCGCAAAGGACAATACTTCATAGACATGTTCTGATGCATTGGGGAACACCGCATTGCTGTTACGACGCTTAGTAACCTGATATTTTCGTACGCACTACAGTAAAAACCACTTAGTAATTGGATTTCTTACCGTGTTCTGGGCAGTGAGCTCCTTGAGGCTATTCTCTTCGTTTTTGCATCCCTGAGCTACTGTGTCTTGTGCAGAGGGGTAATTCATTTGTTCCAGGGTTCAGATCAACTCCTGCGTGAGTGGTGCAGAGAATGAATGTTACAGACACTTCAAAAAGTTTGAGAAAATTGAAATCCCAGGTAGGGAACAGGGTACTGGAAAAATTGAACCGCTGATGTGCGGCGGCGTGTACAAGAAGCTTCTACTCCGGAAGTTCTTTCAATTGGTGGGTGGAGCGGGAAGCAGAGAACCACTGATGCGCTTTGCTATCTTACAGGACTAGCAGAGAACCTGCCTGAAAGGTAACAAATGAATAAGACTTCAGTGTTGAGGCGGCACACATAGATGACCTTTGACAAAGCAGATCACCCTTGTAAGAACAGAGATATATTGGAAAGGTGGTTATGACTGAACTGAACACTGATAGAACAGTGAGGTTGGTGTTGAGGGTCTTGCAGAGTCTGAGATACGTGAGAATGAGCATCTGGGGTGGGGAAGGAGCTCAGGTTAGAGGAGGAAAGGTAGTACATCTCTAGCTTTCTCTTTCAGCTCCTCTAAGTCCTCTGTGCGCTGTACTGAGCCACTTGTTCCAAGACGGATGTCCTTTAGCTGGATTTGATTGCTTTGCTTTGATTTTGCTTTCTTCCTTTTCAATTCTGCTCTTTCTTATCTGGTACCCAGGCTGCCCTCACCAAAGGCAGAAGTATTATTTCTGGATTCTTATCAGCATCTGGATGGCAGGGATCTGTCTTATCTTTGTATTATCTGTTGAGTTGTATTAAATGCTTAGTAAATATGTTTTTACTTGGTTGGCCATTGTGGAGAGAAAATCTGTATAGCTTTACAAAACACTACCTAAGCCTACGATTTTATTTTGCGGTGTTGTAATGACGCCTTAGACAAAACAAGGGTATGTGACAATTTTATCAGGGAAATGTTAAATTTTCCCTGCCTTAGGAATTCTCCCAGAAGACTCAGTGGAATCTTCCTGAACCCTATCTCTATTCAAGATCAGGATGACTAAGGAGTTGAAGACTTTAGCAAACTTGATCCCTAAGATACAGTCTCCAAAAGCCAAATAACCTCTATTAGTAAAAAAAAGGGGGGGGGGCAGACTAGGGTGCAAGAATCTTGGCAGCAGTGGAATAAGTCTATTGACCAGAACTTCTGCCAGTACTTTAGGTAGTAATGTTAGCAGGAAACGAATGTCTGGGCCCCAAAAATCTCTGGGCTAACTCTAGGAATGTTGCTGTTAGAGGCTGAGGTCCAAGATACACATTAAGGAGCAGATTATAAAGGTGCTAGAGCAGTTCTTGACCATCCTATCCAAAGAGCTGTAGGCTTGTATGCACGAGAAACATCTATAATGTGGAGGAAGTGAGCATGCTAGGAAGCTTTAGGGAAAGAGCTTGATGATCTAGGATACTGGGTGAGAAAAGAGTTGCAATCTGGGTAGGACAGTGAGGATGGTGGTGAGGGGACATAGATGCAAAATTGGAATGAGTAGATCATTACTGAGATAAAATCTTCCCTGTGGTTCCAAGTCTGTCTCTTACTTCTTGCTCTCTGCTTTCCATTGCTTGAAGACTAGATGAGCTTCTGGTTCCTAGGTCTCCTGCTCTGTGTCCCTTGGTTATACCACTTGTGATTTATAAGTTCTATTTCCAATTCCCAGTGTGGTTCCCTCACAAGCTCAACTGTATCTAGTTTTCTCCAGGTCCCCGCTTGTTGCCTTTGACAGGTAATGTTTTTAAAGAGAATGGTGGGCCACAGGTCTTGGAGTTTCCAACTCTGGCTTATGGAAACACAGCTTTGCTGTCAGTCTTAGAGATTCAGTCCCCTACTGGAAGGAGGTAAGAAGCACAATTTACCTTGAATTCACCTTTGGTCAGACCATCTTTCCAGAGTACTTCTCCTGACACCTATTTTGTATTTGTCAAAGGTGTAGTCAGGAATTTAAAACTGGATACTTTTGCCCTGGTCTGGGGAGGTCAGTGAAGGTTTCCTGGGAGTCACTGAGCTTTAAATGGACAGTGGGTCTTAGAATAGAAAGGGAAGGAGAATCATATGGGGAGAAAGAATTTAGAAAATTCAGTGGTCTGTATATGGCCTCCATCAAATTGACTAAAATGTAACAAACATTTACATAATAAACTCATCAGCCTTAATGAGCATTTTTGTATCAGCAGAGAACAGTGAAAACTTGTTGAAATGTGGAAACTGGACTCTCACTGGCTTAATAACTTGTAGCACCCCAGCCTTAAGGTGTTTGTGACTCATCAAATGAGAAAGAGAGACATGGATCCTTGGAGTCCCTTGTGCTGACTTGAAATGTTGAGGATCTTCTGTATTTAGTAAATTCCCAAATCATTGTAGATCTGTCTCCACCCTCCTTAGTAAAAACTCTGTCGGTTGCTTGTTTCAGGATCAACTTCAGTATTGAATCGGATTTTCCTGATGGTTTCTATTTTTTTCTTTTTAAAGATTTTATTTATTTATTTGACAGAGAGAGACCCAGCGAGAGCGGGAACACAAGCAGGGGGAGTGGGAGAGGGAGAAGCAGGCTTCCCGCGGAGCAGGGAGCCCGATGCGGGGCTCGATCCCAGGACCCCGGGATCATGACCTGAGCCGAAGGCAGACGCTTAACGCCTGAGCCTCCCAGGTGCCCCCTGATGGTTTCTATTTGCCTGCTTATTCTTTTCTTGATTTCTGTTGGATCATATTATTATCAATGGCCATTGTTCCCACTTTCTCCAGTCCACTGTCTCTCCCTCCTCAGTCCCTCACATAATGTTGCATTGACCTCTGGTGATGGATTTACTCTAACACTTCATAGCTCTTGCTAATTCACTACTATTTCTGTTCATTCAGCTTCCAGTTCCACATTTTCTTTGATTCTCCTTTTGATTCTTATCATTCTTTTCTCATCCTTGTAATGAGTAGAATAATCTAGTAAAGAGGAAATAGGATTTGGAATCAGAATATCTGGTACTGGAGTCTGTGATTTACCAGACGTCTTAGGGACAGTGCACCAGTAGAGAACTCTCTTTATTCGGTCTCTAAAGCTTCCTAGTGTAGTCATTCCCTTTTCATATTTATTGCTGTGTAACAAATTACCCCCAAATGTGCCATCTTAAACATATCTATAGTTTCTGTGGGTCAGGAATTGAAAGTGGTTTAGTAGAATGTTCTGGTCTTGGGTTTCTCAAGAGGTAGTGGTCAAGGATGTTGGCTCGGCTGTAGTCATCTCAAGAAAGCTGAGGATTGGCTTTCAAGTTGCTTCCCTCACATGGCTCTTGGCAGGATGCCTGAGTGTCCTCACAGCGTGGCAGCTGGTTTCTCCCCAAAACGAGTTATCCAAAAGACCAAGGACGCTGCACTGCTTTCTGTGACCTAGTTTCTACCACCACTCCCACCATATTCTCATTTTTGGAAGTATGTCACTAGGTCCAGCCAAGACTCAAGGGGAGGGAAATGAGGCTCCATCTTTTAGATGGAGTTGTGTCAAAGAATTCATTGTTATATCTTAAATCACCACAGGCAAGTTACTTAACTTCTGTGAGCTTCTGTTTCTTCACCTCTGAATGGGGGACAAAAATATCTACTTTACAGGAATGAGTTGTGAGGTTAAATGAAGATGTCTTTTGAAAGTGTTTTATATACATTATAACTCTCTAATGCTCTCATAATTTTCAGTGTAATCATTGCCAAAGATCTGCTGTTCTCATCTGTGTCCTGGATCTTTACTGTGTTAGTGTTATCTCTCTTGAACTGACCCTGTTAGACTGTGCTTGATTTAGGTTGACCCACAGTATATATTCCGGGACATGCTTAAATCATCCTTTGCTCTTTCCCTTAGGTGTCTGTCTCAGATAATAAGTTATATCTGCAGTCTGTCTACTTTAGGTGACAAAAGTAGTACCAATAAGAAGTTTGCTCTAAAGAACCAAATATTTAGAGAAATACACATAGGCAGTACTAGCTACATAATCTGCAGGACTAGTGCAAAATGAAAATGTGGGGCCCTTTGTTCAAAAAGCAGGAAAAACATATTGTTAAAGGTATTAAAATATAAAACCTATTTTTCCCCTACCATGGGCTCTCTCATGACTCATCATTGTGTTTTTGTTATTTAATGTCATTTAAACAAAAATTAAAATTTTAATTATGAATTTTGCTGTTCACCTTTAGATGGTACAATACCACTTTTAAATGCAAATATGAAAGCATTAGGAATCACCAAATTATACACAATTCATATTTTGTAGTTCCTACGTGCATATGTATTTCAGATCAGTGGAAATG